GGTTGGAACTGGAGGAGCTTTAAGGTCCCTTCAACCCAACCTGATGTCACTGCTCTCCTGCAGGTTTGCTCTACTATGCTGGACACGGCTATGAAAACTTTGGCAACAGCTTCATGGTGCCCATCGATGCGCCCAGTGCCTACACCTCTGCGCACTGCCTGTGCGTGCAGCAGGTGCTGCAGGGCATGCAGCAGCGCCGCACCGGCCTCAACGTCTTCCTGCTTGATATGTGCCGCAAGAGGTGACCCAGCCCTGGCCACCAGCCTGGAGACAAGCTGGGATGTCCCGGCACAGGGGTTCCCATGGGTGCTGGTTCCATGGGGAGTGGAGGGGGTCATCCACAGGATCCCATCCACCCCATTGGCTTTGGGTGCACCAGGGCATCAGTGCCCCAGCTGAGCTGGAAAACACCACGATGGGTGGGCAGAGGAGCACGGGGCAGCCCCTGGGGTGCCCTGGGGAGGGTTTGGGGTGGCAGCAAGTCCAGCAGCGCTTCTCTTGCAGGAACCTCAACGACGATGTCATCCCAAATGTCGGGACACTGCAGGTCACGGCCAACATCGTCTTCGGCTACGCCACGTGGGTCCACCCCCCTCTGCCCCCAACACGGGCATCAGGGATGAGTCTCCCATCATGGCTTGGCTCTCCTTGCGTCTGTGTCTTTCCCCCTCCATTTCCGGGCAGCATTGCCTCCTCCAGTTGATGCTGGAGGTGGCGGGTGAGTGGCATCGTCCAGTCCCCTAGGGGGCAGGAAGATGCCCACCGTGCTGCTTGACAAAGCCCTGAGGCTCCTCTAGAGCACAGGGATTTGGCCTGATGATTCTTTAAGCATCCAGGACCTGGTGTGGCTTCTAACTCTCCCCACCATGGTGGCCACATGGGTCAATGGAGTGGGTAGAGCTGTGGGCACCCAGCTCTGGCTTCCCCAGGGGTTGGGGGCTGGCTCCCAGGGGAGTGATGGAGCCAACGCTGCCCCATCCCTCCAGGTGCGCAGACGCTGAAGCCTATGAGCTGAGCCAGGGCGAGCTCTCCAACGGCATCTTCGTCACCTTCCTCAAGCGCTGGCTGCTGGAGGACGAGAAGATCACGGTGCTGTTGGACAAGGTGGCTGAGGGTGAGTGGGGAGCAGCAGGGGACAGCAACACCCTCCATGGCCCGCACTGATCCCTGTCCCCCGCAGACATGGGCACGCTGGAGATCACGCGCGGCCGGCAGGCGCTGGAGCTCCGCAGCAACCTCTCGGAGAGACGAGCTCTGACGGACCCCATCCGCACGCCAGCCCGGGACGAGTCCTCGGCCAGGAACCTCCAGTGGGCCAAGGCTCATGGTGAGAGTCACAACGTGCTGGTACAGAGCTGCCAGCCCATGTCCCCACCCCAGGGTGGTCACCGCACCCATGGGCATGGCTCAGGTCAACCCTGTGCTCGCCATCCCCATTCTAGTCTTGCCGGAGAGCAGGACCCTCAGCTTTGACTGTGGTGTCACCGTTCAACTGGGCTTTGCCGCCGAGTTCTCCAACATCATGATCATCTACACCCGCGTGGTGGCCACCCCCGAGGACATCGCCACGTGTGAGGCCAAGCTCACCGACATACCTGAGGTGGGAACAGGCAGCCCAAGCCCATGACAGTGCGATGGGGAACAGGGTGGGGGGACCCATGCTGGTTTCCATGCCATCTGTGGTTGGAACTAGATGCTCTGTGGTTGGATCTACATGCTCTTAAGGTCCTTTCAAACCCAAACCGTTCTATGGCCTCAAGCTGCCCCAGGGCAGGTTTAGCTGGAGCTGAGGAACAATTCCTTGCCCAGAGGGTG